GTTTAAAAATAATATCAGGAAGTATTACTTTACTGAGAGGGTAGTGGATGCATGGAATAGCCTTCCAGCTGAAGTGGTAGAGGTTAACACAGTAAAAGGAGTTTAAGCATGCGTGGGATAGGCATAAGGCTATCCTAACTATAAGATAAGACTAGGGACTAATGAAAGTATTTAGAAAATTGGTCAGACTAGATGGGCCGAATGGTTCTTATCTGCCGTCACATTCTATGTTTCTATGTCTATGGGTGCTGAGGTGGGTGGAGGGGAGCATGGCGCTGAGATGGGAGCTGGGGGAGAAGGGGACTTAGGTGGGTGAAGGTGGGGTGGGTGCAGGGGGCATAGGGCTGGCGTGGGTGCTGAGGGAGAGAGGGACTGAGCTAAGTGAAGGGGTGATGGGTGCTGAGGTTGGTGGAGGGGGCATGGGGCTGAGATGGGTGAAAGGGACATGGGTGCTGAGGTAGGTGGAGGAGGCATCGGGCTGAGGTGGGTGGGTGCTGGGGGAGATGGGGGCTGAGGTGGGTGAAAGGGAGATTGGTGCTGGGGAAATGGGTGCTGAGGTGGGTGGAGGGGGCATGGGGAGGGAGGAGGGGGCATGAGGCCGAGGTGGATGCTGGGGGCTGAGGTGGGTGAAAGGGAGATTGCTGCTGGAGAGATGGGTGCTGGGGTGGGTGGAGGGGGCTGAGGTGGGTGAAAAGAAGATTGGTGCTGGGGAGATGGGTGCTGGGGTGGGTGAAAGGGAGATGGGTGCTGAGGTGGGTGGAGGAGGCATGGGGCTGAGGTGGGTGGGTGCTGAGGTGGGTGAAAGGGAGATTGGTGCTGGGGAGATGGGTGCTGAGGTAGGTGGAGGAGGCATGGGGCTGAGGTGGGTGCTGGGGGAGATGTGGGCTGAGGTGGGTGAAATGGAGATTGATGCTGGGGAGATGGGTGCTGGGTGGATGGAGGAGGCTGAGGTAGGTGAAAGGGAGATGGGTGAAGGGGTGGGGGCGGAGGTGGGTGGGGGGCAGCATTGGGCTGAGATTGGGGCTGGGGGAGATGGGGACTGAGCTAAGTGAAGGGGTAATGGGTGCTGAGGTGGGTGGAGGGGGCTAAGGTGGGTGAAAGGGAGATGGGTGCTGGGGAAATGGGTGCTGAGGTGGGTGGAGGAGGCATGGTGCTGAGGTGGGTGGAGGAGGCATGGTGCTGAGGTGGGTGGAGGAGGCATGGTGCTTAGGTGGAGGTAGAATTGTATGGGGGGGTTTACAGACCTGCTGTTTCTGTCAGGCTGCTCCTCAGCTTCAGCCGCTCAGCAGATTCAGGAGGAGAGGATGAGTTCTGGAAGTGATGTCACTTCCCCTCTCCCAGGCCCCGCCCCCTCTCCTCACACAGCGCTCCGCACAGAGAGGATGGAGGAGACCTGGCAGCAGCAGGATTGCCGCCAGGTCTCACTCAGTAGGTGAGAGGACACATCGGGGCAACAAATCCTGTGTAACTGTGCCTCTCTGGCTGGGGAGATCTCTGATCTCCCCAGCCAGAGTGAGTGCATGGCTGTTTAGCCGGCCTGGCCCCTGACTGCCTCGGGCCCTCGGTCATTGACCGATCTGCCCGAGTGGTCAGTCTGCCCCTGTATAGAGCCTTGGTGTAACCTGGGATATGCAGGAACCAGGATAGCTGTTCAGCAGAAAAACAGCAAATAGGACTTAGAAATTGTAAACAATGAATTTTATTCAAGTATACAGTAAATAAAAGTAATAGTATAAATAGATAAAATACAAATATGAAATATTATTATATAATTAACTTAACGCGTTTCTCCCAGCAGGGCTTCTTTATAGGAACCATTGTCTGTTTATTTCTGTTCTTCTTTGAGGTTTCTCTGCTTTTCAAAATCTAAAGAGATTTATATTTATATTTATACCACTCCACTGGGTCATTGTTAGTATTAATTTCACCCGTGTGGTTTTCTGGTTTTGTTTGGCGCGGTTTATCACCTGTTGTTTTGTCACATTTCTGTATGATACACAAGATTTAGAAATACTTGAAGATTTACTGCTGCTCGTCCACATTATAGTGAGTGCCTATATTTGGTGGGTTTTTTTGCATAATTTATAAAATTGTCAATTTCTATTGATATCTGCACTTTTTGCAAAATGAAAAAAAAAAGGATGCACTCTTCACACACACAGGGAGTCGGGGTTGGGAGTTTCCCTTTAAGTAAGACATTCAAATTTGTTGTTAAAGTGCTTACGTTTTTTTTCTGGCAGGGTTATACAGTAAAGTGAGAATTCAAAGTAAATTTCAAACTGAAGGGCAAAATAGCCGAGCTGGAATAAATTGTCAGATATACTTTCAGTTTGGCTACTCTGGCCTTAAATTTGAAAGTCACTTTGAATTCTTACTTTAGTGAAAAACCCTGATAGAATATTCTGTACAATGGGTGGACTAACAGACAAGTATTTGTAACCAGGTGAGTTGGACGTACAGGAACAGAGGGATTGAGGGCCCTGCTCGATGAGCTTACATGCTAGAGAGAGTGGGGTAATGTGACACAAAAGGTAAGGGTAGGATAGAAAAGTAGGTTGCTAGGATGGTGTTCATTGAGGGCTTATAGTTTTGTTTTGATGACAGTTTCATATATGAGAGTATCCCAATGCAAGTTAATCGTTACAAGAGTGATATCCCTACATTTACTGGTAATCCTGGGTTATTTATAACCTATTGCTGGTTATTTCCCTCCCCCTTTCTTTATTTATATTTATCTTTCTTCATTGTGCTTGATTACAATATGTGGGCTTAGCCCGTGATGTCTGCTGTTTGTCCCTCTGTGGGATTCTTTTAACTGATGGATTCTGGGTAAATTAGATTGGCAACCAAAACAGAACATTGCTTAAGCTCCATCCATTGTCAAGTTTTGCCAACTTGACCATTGGACTGAAAAAGTCATATTGGGGAGGAGCCTAGCGAGATGGCTGCACAATGTTGGAGCTCCCCATTAAACTGCTAATCGAAACAATCTTTTTGCAAAAAATGCTCACCCACAGCCCTTGTTTAGGGCTATATCGGTTCAACTACCAATGGGAAAGAAGTCAAAGAAGCACCTGGCTGATACAGGCTCTGGGTGATATTGGGACTTTCATGACACAGGCTCCAAGCCCCTCGACTACAAAGACTCTCCACGACAACTTGAATGTCAGCTAACCATTTACCGGGACATAACATTATGTGACGACAGATACTCCGAAAGATCATGCAAGTGCCCAGAGAACACAAGATTTCCTAGTGTCTACACAGACTCTTCATGGAAAAAAGCAGCAAGACCTTTCCTATAGCTCAACTTTCTGGGGGCACCTATTTTACTCCAGGAGATGGGTCTACCAGTAGGATCCATGCTAGCAGTGAATTGCCCACTTGATCCGTTGACAAGATTACACAATTTGTGCCAAAGGGCTTGTTGGGGCTAGTGAGCTGCCAATCTAAACAGTGTCGACATCTATTCAGTTATAATTTTATCATTTAGTTTAAATGTGTAATTCCTTTTTAGTTTGTTTAATGTTCAGACTCAGCAGGAAGATATTAAATATATGGTATACCACTTATTTCCCGCCATACTTACTGTATGTTCCACTAGGTGCTTATCTACACTAGACTACTTTCTGGCAAGTTAATTTAGCAGATTGCATTGTCCTTCTATATGCCTAAATTGTTGAAGCCAAATGATTCGATAGCAGGAGGGTTTGATGTTTACTCTATTCTAATAATGCACTTATCTATTACAAAAATAAAGGTTTTGTTCTATATTATGACATTGTGAAATGTTACATAGTTACATAGTTAAAGAGACGTGCCCATCAAGTTCAGCCTTTCTCAGATCTGTTTTTTGCTGATGATCCAAAAGAAGGCAAAACCACCAGTTTGATGCACTTCCAATTTTGCAACAAACTAGGAAAAAAATCCTTCTTGACCCCAGAATGGCAGTCAGATTTATCCTTGGATCAAAAAGCTATTACCCTACAGTTGAAAAATGATATAATTGAATATTATTTTTTTGAAAGTATGCATCTAGTTGCTGTTTAAACATCTGTACAGACTCTGATAAAACCACTTCTTCAGGCAGAGAATTCCACATCCTTATTGTTCTTATGGTTAAAAAAAAAAAAAAAAACTTTCCTTTGCCTTTGACTAAATCTTCTTTCTTCCAGTCTAAATGCATGACCTCCTGCCTATGTATAGTCCTGTTTGTGAATAGATTTCCGCACAATGGTTTGTATTGTCCACAGATATATTTGTATAATGTTATCATATCTCCTCTGAGGTGACATTTTTCTAAACTAAAGAGGTTTACATTTGTTAACCTTTCTTCATAGCTAAAATGTTCCATTCCTTTTTTATTTTTTGTAGCCTGTCTCTGCACTTTTTCTAGTGCCATGATATCCTTCTTTAGAACAGGTGCCCAAAATTGCACAGCATAGGGTGTGGTCTTACCAGTGATTTATAAAGAGGCAAAATTATATTCTCATCCCGAGAATTAATGCCCTTTTTTATGCATGACAATACCTTACTGACCTTAGCCACTGCCATTTGTGTTTTAGCATTCTCTCAGATATTATATTGATCTTGCTGTTAGATTTTGAGAGAGACTTGCTATTATCTATAGCAGGCATAGGCAACCTTCGGCACTACAGATGTTTTGGACTACACCACCCATGGTACTCTGCCAGCATTATGGGTGTAAGAGCATTATGGAGGATTTAGTCCACAACATCTGGAGTGCCGAAGGTTGCCAATCCCTGATCCACAGAGAGGTTCACTGTTCTCCCTTCCAGGGACTTCTCGGTATCTCTGGGGCACTTGATTCTCCATTTCATTTCATTCTTATACTACTTCTCTACTCTTTCCTTTGTGCTCTCTGTTACTCTTCCTGGGCTTGCCTTGTTGTCCCCCGTTCCATCCATGGGTGGGGAGTGGTCAAGTGACCCCATCTGTTACCTTCTATCGCTTCTGCATCTCTCCTGGTCTTCAATTAACTTGCCTGGCTGCCTCACATCTCTGTAGAGGGCAGGACATGCATAGGTGATTTGGGCCCCTGCAGACTTATTTGGGCTCATCCCACTGCCTCCTGCTCACTTTGAGGGTAGGTTGTGGTCAGCTCCTGTTTTCTCTTCATGGTGTTGTCTTGGTCCCACTTACTCTCTCCCAGAGACTTTAACCCTCACTTCGTGCTTTACCTAAAATTAATACAGAGCATAACTTTTGAAACGCAGCAATGACTTATAGACCTTATTCTCTCACTGTTATCATGCAGAACTGTAGGGGCCTCAATATTCTAGAACATAGATCTTACTTACAGTGCAAACTACACCATAACCACATATTTATTGCCTTCCTCCAAGAGACCCACTTTATGGAAAGAGCTGCTCCTGCGCTAAAAGGTAAACACTATGCACTTAATTATTTCTGTAATCACTCCACAGCTTATAAAGCTGGTGTGGCTGTATTGGTGCAGGCAAAACTCCAGTTCAGAAGTAGACAGGGATATGGATCCAAAGGGCAGGCACCTTTTTGTAAAGCAGGATGTGATTGGCCGCAGATATACCATGTCCCAAATTGCAATCAGTCCCACTATATCTGCAACATCCTCACTAGATTATCCTCTTTCACCAAAGGCATCTTGATTCCAGCAGGGTACTTCAATGTCCCTTTGAGTCACATTGTGGATTTGTCATCTGCCCACAGCAGCATCCCCCAGAGAGCTCTTAGGAGCATTTAGAAGTCTCTTTGGGCACAAAGACTAATAGACTGTTCACTACTCATTAATTCATAACAGATACTCACAGATTGATTTTCTGTTCTTACAACAAGAGAACTTGTCACGACTACAGACAGCCCATATTGATGTAACAGATCACAGACCTGTAGAAGTAGTGATGGACTATCTGATTTGTAGACACCAAACGTGGTCCTGGAGATTGAACGACTCACTTCTACTAGACTTGGAAGTACAAGAAATGATTTCTCAAGCAATGACCATCCCTAGAGAACAAACAGATGTCACAATTTGGGAGGCCACAAGAGTGTCATCACGGAATCCCTGATTCAGATTGCTACCCAAAAGAAAAAAGAAGCTCAAAGGCAGCTTGCAGAACTTGCAGCACTCGAGTCTCAACACATATGCACCCAGGTTGAATACATGTTAACAAAGGTGGGAAGCTATTGGCACGGATGCTTAAAGAGCATCAATATTATGCTCATGTTCATAAGATAAAAATCTCCACAGGTAGCTTCACCCAACTCTCTGAGGAAATTGCGGGGGGAAATGGCGCCTTCTATTTTTCTTTATGTAATAACACAAAGCTGCAAGGGAGGGTTCAGAAGGAGAGTGGCAGCGGAAGACTACACGGTTCCTTTTTAAATATATTTCCAAGGACATACAGACAGAGGACACAGAGGCACTAGACTCAATGATTACAGAGGAAGATATCACAGCAGTTATCAAAACGTCAAAGTAAATAGGTAACTATATGATGGATAAACACCAATAAACGGTAAAATAGCCTTCTTAAGTTAAAATTAGAGACCAAATGCAACTACCATAACCACTGTATCACTGTCTGAAATAACCACCACCCTAGGTTAAATTTGTCAATATTCTGGGTGCCTGTTGGAATAGACCAATAGTGGAGACAGGACTCAGTGAAAATGAAAAATACAAGTTGTGAATAAGAATGGTTAGAATATATGAAAATAGTCCTTGATACAAATGTATCAGCTAGTCAGGTCCTTACCTTCCATAGTAAAAGGTAGGGAGGATCCAAAACTGCTGGAGCAATAGTCTAGTAAAGGTCCTATAACTTATCAGGAGAAGAACCAGTACACATTATTATCTCAATATATAAAATCAGGTTGCAAATAAAAATACTCCTGTCCCACAAGGTGTTAAAATTCTTATGTTAATTATATAGTGCAGCAGACAGTGTACCAGTTAAAATATTTATTAGTACAAAAAAAATATAAAACTGTCAACGAAACACACATATATCTAAAAGACTGATATATAGCAATAGTTCCAAATGTGCAAGCAATAGATATCTGGTTTACAGACCGGGGGTCCAGAGATGTGAGTATCACTCCCTTGCCGGCCGGATAGGAGTGCGCCTGGACCTCCTCGTGCTGCTACAACACTGGATATCAGCCGCATGCATTCCACTGTGGCTCTGGATCCGTTCCAGTATGCTGCTATTCGGGAACCGATGTGAAGATGCCTCCTAACGCGTTTCGTGATCAACGATCACTTCCTCGGAGGATGGCATCAATGATGGCATCATTCTTTTTTATAGTCCTCGGTCTGCTGGACTTGTCAGAGCTTAACCCTTTCACTACTAGTACATTCCCTCAAATACAATATATAGATTGCTAAAATATTCAGTTCACACAAGTTTTTTGAATGAGTATAGAGCAGACATAAATGACAACAAGGATTAATTAAACTAAAAACATGTCATTAACATTCTGACCACATACTTTGTTAATATATACTAAAAATCCTATGCTACTTCGCATGCTAACCTATTGTTGATAGAAATTGATCAATGCTTATAATAAAAGTACTAAAAAAGTGCAATAGTGGGTATTCAATACAACAGATTCAATCTGCATTTGAAAAAATACAAACAAAAAGAAGCTATGTAGACGTTGTATTAAAAATTCTTATACCGGAATTTTGACTGATCACAGTGTGTGGCATTTACAAGTGAAACATCATACACGATCCTCACATTGGAGGAATATGTTGTAAGTATCTTCAGCACTAGTAAAAATGTATGATTAAACAAATAAACAAATTAATTAATAGTTGAACATATAAAACATTAATAATTAAGCATGAAAGTTGAACATACAAAACCCCTAATTCATCTACTCATATATAACGTTCTTCTTAGATTGATGCGGGTATTCTGCAAGACATAGATATACATGTTATTGCATAAAATAACGATATCGGTAATTATTCATACCGGCAATTTTAACAATGGTGCATAAAGACAGATAAATTAATACATTCTCTAAAAAGAAGTAAAGATATCAAAGCCTGATTATAAAAGGATCTACCCTATATGTCTTTAAAAACTAGTGCAAATAGATCGGTAAAATACTCTCATACTTGGTGGATGTGTATTGAAAATCAAATGCGGTTTCGTATTATAGGGAATTGTGAATGGTTAATTATTAAAGATTAGTTAATGCTTGCTCTAATGAAAATTGATAACTGAAAGAACACCTAATTCATTAACTCATAAATAACAATCTCCTTAAATTGATGTGGGGACATCCTGCAAGACATAAATATAGCTGTTGTTACTCAGTAATAGCTCATACAGACAGTTCTAACAGTAGTTCTCATTATAGAAAAAATAAATAAATAAGGACAGATTAATTGACACATAATAAATTCTCTAAAAAAGGAAGTAAGAGTATCGAAGCCTAAGCATAAAATGTTTTATCCGAGCCTCACATTTTAAAAGGATATATACTAAATATCTTTAAAAGCTAGTGCAAATTAAAATCCGCTAGTATATGTACTCATAACCTGCAATTCTTTTGAACTAGTGCTGGAGGGGTCTGTAAGACATAAATATGGCTGGCATTAAACACAATTAAAAATACCAAATAGATATTCATAGCAAAAATTCTAAAAATGGTACTAAAAATACATATACAGTTAAAAAGGTTAACACATTAAAACTAATTGGAGAAAACATAAAAAATCTTTATATTCCAAAACAGACTGGCAGACTGGTGATGACTGTCTATTAGCCATTAAAAGTAAGACGGTGTAGATAAAAACTGATTGGAAGCAACATCATTATAATCAATATGTAGAGAAGGTCAGAATTATTTTTTTTTTTTAAATTAATGAATCAGAGAAAAGCATTGAGTTCGAAGTCTATGTTTAAGCCTGAAGGTTCCAGGCTATTCAATTTGAAAATCCATTTTGCCTCCATTCTATCCAAAGCCTGCTCAACGTCTCCCCCCCTCCAATGAATGTCGACTTTTTCAATGGCTAAAAATTCAAGGCCCACTTGATTCTTAGAATGATGGATGGAGAAATGTATGGAAAGGTTGTGGGTAATTAACCCCTTCTTAATGTTCCGGATTTGCTCTCCCAGCCTAGTTTTCCATTTCCTTTTTGTTCGTCCTACATAATGTCTTTTACAGGGACATGTTAGGAGGTAAATTACTCCCATTGAGTTACAATTTAAATGGGTTTTTATTTTAAAGTCCTCGTCCCCTTTCATGTTCCTAAATTTCTTAACGTAAAAGATGGGCCAAACTCCGGGTCCAGATGGATAAACCCTGGATTACTACATAAACTTCCGCAACATTCTAGTACATAAGATAACTAAGACCCTCAATGTGCTTACCTCAGGGGGAAGGTTCCATTTGGAGTCCATATCAGCCACAATTATCATCTTACCTAAGCCAGGGAAAGATGCAGAGTTTTGTAGTAGTTATATACCGATTTCGTTACTTTACGTGGATATTAAACTTTTCACCAAGGTCTTGGCTACCAGATTCGAGACGAAACTGCCTGGATTAGTCCACCCGACTCAAACAGGGTTTATCCTGGGCAGGGAGGCAACGGACCGCAGTCTGTGGGTTTTCTTAATTCAACACCTTGTGCAATGGAGCAGGGTACCTTTTCTCTTTCTCTCGACAGATGCAGGGATGGCATTTGACCGGGTCATTCCTCATAGCTACGCTTTCAAGCCAAATTACTTGTTTTGATAGGTGCTATTTATAGCTTCCCAAACACCATAGTACGAGTAAATGGCACTCTGACGGATACCTTCCAGATCCACAATGACACGAGGCAGGGATGCCCATTTTCCTCGCTCCTATTTGCATTAACATCAGAGCCATTTCTAGAGGCAGTGAGGTGCAATGTAGACATTACAAGCTCCCAATGGAAGAGAACTACACACAAGATTGCGGCATACACCGATGACTTGTTATTCTTTGTGACTAATCCTATTGTAGGTCCATAGGAAATGGTACGGTACGGTTAGGGCGGAGCTACTGGCATCACCCTATACATTCCATAGATTGGGGGACAGAAAGACGTCACTGCTCAAGTCAAAGACAAGCGCGAAACAAACACCACGTTGCCGTTCAGTCCAGATAATAGGAGAAGGATGCCTGCAAACAACAGCAAGATCTGGTCGGCTCAAGAACTATCCACTTTCCTAACTATAATTGACAATAGCGTTATTCAGAGTGAACTTGATGGATCAGTGAGAAATGAAAAGGTGTATAAAGATATTTCTCAAGGGATGGCAGCCGAGGGATTTCAACAGACGTCGGTTCAGTGTAGGGCAAAGCTTAAGAAGCTAAAAGGCCAATATAAAAAAATTAAGGATGCCAACAGCCATAGTGGAAACAGTCAAAGTACTTGGAGGTGGTACAACGCCATGGACGCCATCTACGGTCACAGGCCGGCAAACCAAGGCAGGGAGGGAGGTCTGGACTCGGTGTCTGCACTTCTCGAATCCATTATAGAGCCCGTTAGTAAGTATTTTTTCTACTTGGCATTGGCGTTAGCTCTTCCAACCATTAAAAAGATCACTGCACAAAACCATTTACTCTTTGCACAAAAAACACATTTTATTTGTACAATGGAATCAAACACAACACATTTATTTGTAAAGTGGAATGAAAGGAAAGGGTAGGGTTTCATTGTTTACTAGCTCGGCATCCCATTGTTTACTACCTGATCCTAACTGCCATTTAAGATAGTTAACTGTTAACATCATGTATTATTCTTTTTGTTTGTGTATCAAACTAGTGATCTGTGCATTTTCAGATACAGTTAAGGGACTCTCCAATGATACCTCAACCTTTTCCGACGATGGTCCATCCACGTCGTTCAGTAGCGCCTGTACGATGGCGTCAACACCGACCCAACCACAGATTGCTCCCAAAGCACCCCGGCATCAACACACTGGTAATACATGGTGATCAAAGTGATAGTTGTAATTGTGCATTTTCCTAACTTTTAATTCACATTAAACTGTGAACTCACTCAAAATTCCTCTGTATAGTTTATGTTTGCATGATTAAACCCATAATCATAATTGTACATTGTCTGTATATACTGCTATTTAATTTTCTTCATTGTATTTTGAGCTTCTCTTGTATATATTGTGTTTATTGAGTTTATTTTAATTTGTGTTTACACGGTTCTTATGTGTTATATCTGTTCTTTATTACATTATGTTAGCTAATATATATCTACCTAGTTTTTGTACCATTGCTAAAAAAACACTATTCTGGTCTTTTGTATATTCCAGGTGATAGGAGATGGTTGCTGGATGTGCGCACAGTCATGGAGGAGATGCGGGCAGCAGATGAAAGACAGCAGGAAAGAATTGAGAGCCTTTCCGAGTGGCAGTTTCAGGCACTGCGTCCGATGCCCACAAAGCGAGGCACCAGGAAGCAGAAATCGCCCGTCAGCAGATGGAGCAGTTGGCTACCTTCAAGCAGGCCTTCCTTGGTATCCTTGGGCAGCTTGTTCAAGTGCTGGGATCCCATGCCACCGACAAGGCTGTAGTGCCTTTCAGCCAGCACAGGACCTGTACACTTTAAAAAAAAAAAAAATATATATATATATATATATATATATAAATATACATATATATATATATATATATATATATATATATATATTTATTTTTTCATATTTTTTATTTGTAATTTTATTTTGAAAGATTATTTTTTGGGGTATAAAAATCTGGAGAGACTGTGGGTGTGTCTGATTAAAGGTAAAACTTTAAACAAATCATGGTATAAAATTAAATGTTGAGGTGCCGCATAAGAGCCTGATGTACTTCACTACACTTTTATTCGCTATGTCCCTGTCATTCCTCTTCATAAGACACCGCCACCTACCCTTAAAGGGCCACTATAGTCATCAATGAAGTGGTCTGGGTGCCAAGTGCCCCAGGTTTTAACCCTGCAGCTGTAAACATAGCAGTTTCAAAGAAAATGCTATGTTTACATTGCAGGGTTAATCCTGCAGGGTTTCTTCCTGAAAATCGCATTGAGCACGCAGAACGTCCATAGGAAAGCATTGAGTAATGCTTTCCTCTGGCCGCGCATGCGCATTTGGCTCCACTTGGGAGGAGAGGTAACCAGCGCAGAGGGAGCCAGTTCTGTAAAGGCTAGGCAGAGTCTCCCAGCACATAATAGCCAACATTCACCCCCCCAATGTTCTTAGCAGGCCTCCCTTCCCAACCAAGTCCCAAAATGTGGACAATCGTAGAACCCAAACGTCATGCAAACTCCCAGGCTTTCCTACATTCACACTCCAGAAAAGTCCTTTTCCATCCACTACTCCATGGAGGATGATGGAATGCCAGCCTTTTCTGTTAAAGTAGTCAGTGTGGTATTTTTGTGGTGCTATTATTGGTATGTGTGACCCATCAATAGCACCAACACACTGTGGAAGGCCCCACCTGTTCTCAAAGTAGTCAGCCATGTCTTTAAGCTTTTCCTGGTCCGGAAAATGAATAATTTAATGAACTAACAATGTGCAGACAGCTTTACAGAAGTCCTGCTCACACCAGCACACTGATGATTTACTGACACCAAAAAGATGACCGATAATTATGTACTCACTGTTGGTAGCCAGCTTCAACAGTGCAATGGCAACTCTTTTCCTCACAGGCAAAGTGGCTCTGAAGTTGGTGCTTTGCTTCTCCATTGCTGGACGTAGTCTTGCGCAAATGCATGAAAATGTTTCCTCCTACATTTGGAAATTGTGCACCCACTGTGTGTGTGTGAATCCCAGGACAGTCACATCCCACCATTCATTTGCGCGGTGTAGAGAGCCCAAATTACTGGTCGGCAGCGCTGGTTTAACAAAAGGAGAAGCATCTAAAAAAGAACAAAACACAGATGGTACAGTTAACTTAATACACCAAATCACTATGAAGTCAAATATAATACAACATAATATACTTTACACAGACAGATAGCATCATGTATAAAAGCAAGCAACATAAATAAGGAGTAATGTGCAATTTAACACACATGTGCAATATGTATGTTGTTAAATACATCATGTATATCCTTCCCATCTTATATTAGATTTTTTCATATTCTGTATTATTTTTATTTTTTAATATTTAAGTTAGTTAACATGAGTAGAACTACATAACTAATATGATAAGCATGGCATAAAGTTGCTTATCCTATAGCGCTGCCATCTTTGTCTTTGCCGCACAAAGGTGTACTTCTCTTCCCAGCTCAAGATCCAAGCCAGAAGTTTTATTCTCTTTTCGGCTGTGTTTCTCTTGGCCGTTCGCAACCTTCTCTCATACAGTGCAGCATGTATTGTAGTTACAAAGAACCAAAAGCCAAGCAGAGCAAAGACGAGCAGCTGGATGACCTCCATTGTTGTTCTTTGTAGCGTCACGTTTGTTGTCGCACTAGTGTGACGCCACGCTAAGCATTTGATCTAAACCCTGCAAGCCCCCTGGTGGTCCAACTTGCAGTGGAAACGCTCACCTAAATAGGTTGGACCATTCTAACTCTTCCAAACCGTACCAACCCGAACTGTTCCGCTCAGTGGAAATGAGGCATTACTAGCCTTGTTGCCCTGTACGTAGGATTAACCTTTCAGTATTTTGAGATTGTACCCAGATATCTGTTTGTCAAAATCTAGGATTTTGGCTTCTATGTCTGCAATTTGCATTTTTAGTTGTGCTGTAGGGTTTATTTGGTTTTACCCTGTGTAAGTCATGGAGTTGCAAGTTCCATGTGCGGATGTTGGTGTTTTTAGTTTTTTTTTTAGAAAGGATGCTCTCCTCAGTAGAAGCCCTCTTATTACCATCTTATGGGCCAGCCTCACTGTATGGGGGTCAGTTTCGGGATGGCTCTCTGACACAACTCAACCGCCAAGGAGTTCTGTGTTTATACTCATAGTGATCGTGTATAGTTAATGTCACTGGTCGATGGTCAGACCAAGATGTGGGTCTAATCTCACAGTCTATGACCTGCGGGAGATTAGAGCAATGTAGGAGAAATCCATCTATTCTGTAGTATGTGTTGTGGACCGGGAATATTGTGTGTCTTTCTGTCATCTGGATGTAGACCTATCTATATGTCGTATAGGCCTAGAGACGCTACCTCCGTGACTAAGTCACTTCGAAGGGACGGTTAGGTCCCAAGCACTCAGCCCAGATATCCCTCACGGCAGCTTCCAAAGACACAAGCTCGGATATCTCCTACAGCATTATCCAGGCACACAAGGCTCAGACACCCCTTGCAAACTGCAGGCAAATCAGACTGCACAGTTAAAGAGGACTTTCCAACTGAAAGGGGTGAGATCTGTCCAATAAGGGACTTCCTTTGCAACAAAGCATTTTTTTTATTTTTTTTTAAATGTATGTTTCTTTTAGTGTGTACACACTGGGACTTTGCATATATTTTCAACATATTTCTTTACAAGTATTCTTTTATCTCTTCTTTTTTTTGGTATCTGCCTATTAAGATACTTATAACGCATATGGGTTTACTGATCAAATGCACAGTACATTGTATGACCTAGGAACATAGGAATCATACCTGGAAGGGATTTTTTTGTCACAGTTTTTTATGTTATAAGTACTAATAAATGTAAATACATGTATACTGCTATGCATTTCGATTTATGTATAATTTTATGGTTATGAATTTGTGCCTTTACTTGAACAATATAGGTATGCAATAATTCTGCTATTTAGCGTAGGACTGTAAAAACACTTGTTTTTACATGTGCAATTAGTTTCGGTCCGAATTTAAATTCGGCCGAATTTCGGCTATTTGTACATTCAGATGCTTCCGAATGTCCAAATTGCCAAAGTGAAGAATTTCGGAAGTGCCGAACTGAACCGAATTGCCGAATTTCTGAAAAGTGGCAAAACAGGAGAGGGAGGGAAAATTAAGAAAATGATGATAGAAATCTAGCCCTAACCCTACCCCTAACCGTAGCCCTACCCCTACCCCTCACTCTAACCCTACCCCTAACTCTGCCCCTAACCCTACTCCTAACCTTACCCCTAACTCTAATCATGACCCTACCCCTAACCTAACGCCAACCCTAACCTTAATTCTAACCCTAGTAGGGTTAGGGGTAGAGTTAGGGGTTAGGGTTGGGGTTAAGTTAGGCGTAGGGTTAGGGGTAGGGTTAGAGGTAGGGGTAAGGGTAGGGGTAGGTTGGGACTAGGGGTAGGGTTAGGGAATTGCCAAAGTTCCAGAAGTGCCGAATTGCCAAAGTCCCGAACCATACCAAAGTGCCGTAGTGCCGAATTGCCGAAGTGCCGAACTGAACCAAATTCTTTCCCATGTACATCCCTACTTGCTATTACAGTACGTATATTTAACAATATATTTGTGAAATAAGCAAAAAATATATTTTTGCCTCTTGTTAGGAGTGCGGTATCACATATTTTTAATAGGTTTTTATATTGCTTATTTAGTAGATAGCAGATTAAAAGAGAAGTTGCTTTCCACTCGGGAAAATATCAATAAAATTACAGAATATTCCAAACTTTTTATTGAAGAGAATTTGAATGGAGAGGTTAATTTGGCTACTACTTGGTATGTATATAAATGCATAATTAGGGGTCGCCTTATTAAGTTGAAAGCACATCTAAATAAAGAAAAAAAATATCTGATCTATATATCCAATTATACAACCTAAAAAGACCTTCTGTGAGACCTTTGGACTTTTCTACAATAGATGAGATAGAGAAACTAAAAAAAAATGCTCACAGAACAACAAAAAAAAAATAAGCAAATGACATACTGAAAAAAATTAAACAAGATGGTTCTATATAGGTAATAGGGCTGGTAAACTAATATCAAATCAGCTTAAAAAACATAATTTAAAATCAAGAATCTTTAAATTTACCTGTAACAATAAAGATTGCATCAGCTCAATGGAGATAGGAAGGCCCTTTAGAGACTATTATAAAAAAAAACACTTTATAATATTCGGACGAGTAATAGAGATGTCTTCAAGAAATATTTGGACAATCTAGAGTTTAATAGACTAACATCAGTTCAATTGGAATAGTTAGAAAAACCATTTACTAATAAGGAAATGTATGATACCATCAAAAGAATGCAATCAAATAAATCTCCAGGACCAGATGGTTTTTCTGATTGGTTTTACAAAACAAAATGGTAGTTTTGGCAGCCCCTTTCCTGACAGATGTATTCAATGAAATTAGGGAATGTAAAAAATTCCAGCAGAAATGTTAAAAACTTTAATAGTACCTATAACTAAATCAGAAAAGAAATTGACTTTGGTTATAAATTATAATAAGTCAATGTTGCTCATTAATGTTGCTCCCATGATCTACTTTGCTAGTTTAGCAGAGTGCATTGAAATTGTTATCCCCTATCTTATTCACTATGATCAACACAGGCCTTCGGGCAAATAGTAACTCCAGAAAAATGATTGAGCTAATTGAATATTGAAATTTCCATGAAATTCCAATGTTAGTTCTTTCTTTATTGCCAAGAAGGCTTTTGACAGTTAGTTAGACATATTTAGAAGAGACC